GGGCGGTTAGCAAAGGCCGGCGAAGGGAACGAAGGGCCTAGGCAGGGAAAGGGATGCTGTGCTGGTGGGCTGCCCTTTCCACACCCTTGGCAGTCCAGAGTAACTCGGTGTGTTGGGTTGCCCTCTCTGCGCCCCAGGGCAGATCTCTCTTCCCCCCCCCCTCTCGTTATCCTCCCAGAAGTGTAGGTTGCTGGTTGCCTTTCTGGACTTTATAAGCCCGAATAATTGGGAGTAATTTGCTGTAATGTTCTCTTTTTCAGTACAGTATTTTCCTATTTTTAGTAGAGTGTAGCCGCTTCCTTTTCCATCTCTACCAGTGAATAAATTTGCATTTGATTTATTCAAGTACTTGCAAGTTAATTCAGTGTTAGAGATGGAAAACGAAACTGAGTTCTTTCAATACATACAATGGCTGTAATTTTTTTTCATTTTAATCAAAATGTTGTATGCTTTTAAAGTAGTTGAGCCGGTTAAATTTTCATAGTAAGCACTCTATATATTGTATTGCATATCTTTTTTTTTCCAAACAAAGCTCAGATTTTTTTATGTTCAAAGCAGAAAAAATAACTACTTCTCTTCAATGTCAAATTTTCTTAAAATTATTCATCCTGAAGAATTCTTGTGAGTTCTTCAGCCTGATCTTTTGAGTTCTCATAACAAAGAATCATAAGAGAGAATGTGTTGTTCTGTTTCCTGTGCCAGAAATATTTAGAGAACTTATTTCCTGGAATGGCCACCAGAGAGGGCTACCTCTACATCAAGTCTTACTTTCCTTTTTTGTGTGTTTTGTTCCTTTTGCAGGAGAACTATGTGCAAGCAGAATTGGATGCTTCTAAAGGTGAATAATTACAAGAGAAAAGTGCATGGCATGGGAGGGGAAAGGTATATTCTTTCTAATACTCTCTAGTTTCCCTTATACTTTCTCATCTGAATGTAGCTATAGAAGCTGATGGGCATGATGTCAAGAGCCTTTTCCGTCGCAGCCAAGCTCTCCAGAAACTGGGTTGTCTTGATCAGGCTGTCATGGATTTAAAGAGGTGTATGAGTTTGGAACCCAGAAACAAGGCTTTCCAGGAGGCTCTGCGCAATCTTGGCAGCAGCATGCATGAAAAGGTAGGAGAAGAGTTAGGGTACACTCCAGGGCAGGCTCCTCTTCTTTGGCTTTCCATATAGGACTTTGGGCTGTTAAAAGCTCCCTTTGGAAATGGGAAGTTATTTTCTATGAAATCATATTTAATGTTGCCTAAGTCGAGTCCGTCCGACTTAGGGCCTGTCCAGACAGGCTGTTTTAGTTGTGGGTAGATTGGGTTGTAAAGGGTCTAGTTGAGGTTGCAGGGGGGGATGTGCCTTTTGATAAGTTCCTCCTATCCAAACAGCAAACAACATCCCCAATCAGCTGTCAATTAAACAATGCAGCTACTCTCAATGTTCCAGCTGATGGAGGAGGGCTGGAAGCTAGCTGCAGTGTCAGAGAGGTTTGGCCCCTTGTTCAAAGGACTACTGACACTCTTGGGTCCAAATCTATTCATTGTTGCCAGAGTGTAACACTTTGCTGGCATAGTTCTCTTTGCTCTCCATTGCAGAAGTGACTGTTGAAACTAACTTTGATCTGGGGTCCACCTATAGCCGAATTTCTCACCAGATGCATGTTTATTGCAGATGACAGCTATGTCCTGTACTGACTCTAAGGTGGAGCAGATGTTTAAGTTGCTGCTTGACAATGAAGAAAAAGATCTGGACAAGAAACAAAAGGTAGTTTTCCAGTAGGCAATGAATGGGGTGTGGTGGCTTGATAGTGGTTTTACCTGTGTAGAGATTGAGAGCCTCAGAAATCTGTCTTGTGTTTCAAAGAGCAACTTTTGTATTTTAAGTCAATGTATAGGTTCACAAACCCATTACATAAGGGGTTTGTGAACATTGGAGAGTTTTGTCCAGAGCCCTCTGGTGATTATGTTCTAAAAGCATAACCTAATAAAAGGATGTAATTTCCTTGTTTGCAACTAACAGAATTCATGTATACATATGCTGTAACATGTTAGTTATCTGTAAGTTACCTATCTACTGTAGGTAGATGGGTGATTTACCTTATGGTCTGTGTAGTCTAATAGGAAGAGCATTGGGTTTGAGGAATCTTCACTCCAGTGTCTCTTTGTGCCTCCTGGTGTTCTTGTGGGGCCAGGATTTCCAGAGATCCCCTATAGTGAGCAGGCAGAGGCTCTTTGAAAGGGGGGTAGATGTGAAGGAGAACCACTCGCCAAACTGAGTCATTCTTCTGGTCAGGCAGCTCAAAACCTGATAGTTCTTGCTCGTGAGGAACCCGGCGCTGAGAAGATTTTTCAGAGTGATGGAGTGCGACTGTTGCTGAAACTCTTGGATACAGGCCGGTTGGATATGATATTGGCTGCTGTGCGGACCCTGACAGGCCTTTGCCAAGGGCATCGCTCTCGGGTAAGTGCAGATTGATCAAAACAATTGACTGGTTCTGTTTTTAAGATCCTGATCACCGGAAGTGGCTGCTTGAGCCATTGTCCAGCATAAAGGTCTCCAAATTAGGGGTGACCTTAGTGGCCAACTGAACATTTGTTGGCACAGCATTTTCCACTCTCAATGGCTAGGTAAATCCATTCCTCATAAGGTGCTTGAAAGTGCAGTGTAGTAAGGCCATGTGCCTGCCACATTGCCAGAATGCTTGCTTTCCAGCAGGTGCAGTAACAGTTCTCCCATTTGGAATCATCCCCGCCCCCACCCCACCCCTGTGCAGTTTCTTTATTAGGAGAACCCATCATGCTCACCTTTCTTAAGGGAGCTTGGCTAACCTCTTGCCCTGTCATTGTGGGAGAAGATATAGGTGATCTCTGATCTAACACATAGCATAAGTGGGGCTGAGTATAATTAAATGAAAAAATCTGCTGTAGGTGCTTGCATAAGTCTGTGGATCTGATGAATGTCTGCTTTTCTAGGACTCCGAACCTGGAAGCAACTAATTAATTTGTTGGGAAAAATAATTATTCACAATGGAAGTATATGAGCATGTTATGATTGTAATTTAATGAGAAGTAACTAACTAAAGACATGATTTCTGCTACTTTTTTAAGACCGCAGTTATAATAGTACCTAATTTGGTGAAACTCTAACAAAGCATAAAAACACACATAATATTCTTGGCAGCTCATAGTTATACCAAAGGAGCTGTCAAACTGCTACGCTGGTCCCTATTTCTACCCAGAATGTGAAAGGAGGATGGTCCTATAGTTGTTGTTGGTGGGAATGTCCCTTAAGTTGTTGGACTGCAACCTTGAGGATCCCTCCCCATCAGCTGCGCTGGCTAGGGCTGGTGGAATTGCAGTCGCACCCAAGCCTGCAGGGCTACACATGGGCTGTCCCTGCTGTGGAGAGTTGGTGGTGAGGCAAGCCTGGCTTCCTCCTAGAGTCTCAGTCATGGGCTCTCTTTTTGCAGACAATGGCGATCCTTGCTGAACTGGGTCCTGAGCGCCTTTTTGCTGTTCTTGAGCTGGAGGATGAGCAGGTCTCACTGGCCACATACAATCTGCTGCAGGTCATGTTTGACGCACTCAAGGAAGGTCTGCAGAAAGATGTACATGGCAAGAAGGAAGCTCTGGTGCCAGGTGAGTCTTTTGCCATCTTTCTGTCTTCACCACCTCTAGCTTGCAGGCTGTGCTTTTTTTTGCTTTGGAGTAATACTAGCACCAGAATTTGGATTTGGAATTACAGCTCTTCAAATTCAGAATCCTAAAAATTCAGAATATCTGATCATCTGGAACTCCACTACAGTCAATATGAATACTGTATAGTCATTAGAGGGGTCACGAAGAGCCGGACACGACTAAACGACTAAACAACAACATTATCATTATTTTCCCATTTAAGGACACGACTAAACGACTAAACAACATTATCATTATTTTCCCGTTTTAAAAAAACAATACCAGGCAAAACATTTTAAAGGATTTCTGTGTGTCCTGACACCTTCCCAGGGATTGTGCAAAACAAAAGGTGCACACCAGCAGCCAGTGGTGTCTAGGTATTAGGAAATGGCAAACACACCTTCCCAGGGATTGTGCCAAACAAAAGGTGCACACCAGCAGCCAGCGGTGTCTAGGCATTAGGAAATGGCAAATTGAACCTTGAACAGGGCTAATGGAAATGCCAGTAGAAATGACAGCAGCATTGGGGAAGCAGAGAACAGGTTCCACTGGGGAGTGGACAAACAGCCTGGGAAGCATTGGCAGGCAGATTGGAGCAGCAGAAAGCCTGTGGTGGGTGGGAACTGTACTAACAGCAGGGAGTACAGCACAGTTGAGTAAGTGACCACACTCTGGGAGTAGCAGTTGAAAGAATGAAAGGGGTACAAAGAGATGGCAGCAAACTGAAGCATAACGCACCCATGCGCTGCGTGTGTCGTTCTCTCTTAAGTAAAGGGGACTTAAGGGAATGGGAGGTACCTTAAGGGGATACATTTTTCTACAGCTCCAGGTTCCTAGTGTGAGCACTCTAGGTGGACAGTGCCCCTGCCTGAGCAAACACTTCCTTACTGGACACACTAATTGGTGGGCGAGACAAGTCTCATTGCTGCCTTGGCCAGACCTCCCCAAAGAGGCCCCTTCTCAGTGAAGTGAGACAAGAGTCCCGTCTCTTTTGGCAGGGCCTCTGCGTGTTTGCCCCCCTCTCTCTGCCATTTCCTTCTGGGGTGGTGTCTCTGGAGGACAGGTCCCTGCCATGCTTGCCAAGAGAGTGTTCCAGAAACCTTGTCCTTTTGTTGCAGGGGTGAGGAACTCAGGCTGTAGAATACAACCGATGGTACTGCTGTTTCTGACTCTAAATATTAGAAATTATTATTACAGATATTGAGAACTCTCAAATTTGGATTCGGATATATTTGGAACTATCCAAATAGAGTATTACTGAGTGAATTCTGAATATTTCAGAATCCATGTGTACATCCCAACTTTGGAGACTACTTGTTGGAGGCACATTTCTTGGGAATTCAGGGTGTGGCTATTCTTAATTCTAATATATGGACTGTTTAGGGCATGTCTGTGAAGTGATCCCAGCTTTGGATGGGTTTCGGAGATCTCTGTGAACTCACAATATCTATCTGGGTTTCCCAGACCTTACACATCTGTTAATTATAAAGTGGTAAAGCCAGTGCACTTCAGCATTTATGTTGGGGAATGACACGGGTCTTGTGATGCTCCAGATTTGAGGTTGTGTCGACAACATGCTGTAGGTAGTGCTAGATCACTGGCCCTAACCTTGGGCAGGTATGTTTTAGCACGCCTTCACCTCCTGCTCTGTTTGGCTGCTGTTCCTGCAGATACGTCCAAAGAGCTAAAGTTTCTCCTCAAGCAGCTTCTGGAGGCCCTGACTCGGGAGAACATTTCTGCCTATGGCCGGGACAGCATCCTCAACTTACTGATCACTGTAGTGCCTCGGAAGTCACTGCAGGACCCCAACAACTGCTTGACTCTTTGGGTCATCGACCAGGGTATGCACCTCCTCTCCCTTTCCTCTGCCTTGCTTGTAGTCTCTTACCAGACTTCAGTGAGCATGTATGTCCTTGTAGGTCTCAAGGCGATTCTGGATGTTGGGGGCACCGTGAGGCACAGTCCAGGGAGCCTGCGTGTGACAGAGAACACACAAATGAGTGCAGCCGTCTTGCTCAACAAGCTTTATGGGGATTTGAAGTGTGACAGTGAGCGGGAGAATTTCCACCGGCTCTGTGAGGACTACGTCAGGTTGGTGGAAGTGAGCAAGTAGATGTAAGATGTTTGGGGCAAGACTTGTTCATCTGGAAGATAACAGAGTGCTGGTGGTAGAACAGTCTTCTCTAGTGCATAGTGGAGGCAGCCATTGTTTACTGATGTGTCCTAGCAAAGGAGGCTAGAATCCTTGCGGCCAGTTATGCCAGTGTAAGAGCGATAGTATGAATTCCAGAAAGGAGGGCTGTTGATGGTTTGATTGCTAGGTGGTGCCTGTCTGCAAATGTGGGCATCTTTACATAATTGCTAGTGTTGGCCCTTCAAAATATCCGGCAAAAATTTTCCAAACTCAAAATTTCTCTCCATCATGCGTTTGTTCCTGGCGGCTCATTCACATATATCTTCCCTTCCAGGAACTGGTTTGAGGACCAGGGTGTGCTTGGAAAGCTCCGGGCCATCCAGACAGCTTCCTGCCTTCTGCGAGGCCCAGCAGAAGCTGGGAACCGGGTGCTGGAGCTGAATGGCATAATGGAAAGCATTCTGGCCTTGTGTGCTTCGTCCCGGGAAGCTGACCAGCTTGTAGCTGTAGAGGCCCTGATCCATGCGTCTGACAAGGCCAAGCGCGCCACATTCATTACTACCAATGGTGTCACACTGCTCAAGGAGATCTACAAGCACAGTGAGCGTGACAGCATTCGCATCCGTGCCCTGGTGGTGAGCATCCTCCTCCCCATCAGTGATGAAAGTTCTGGGGATTGAGGTGGTGGCTGCTCCTGCTTCAGCATGTTGTGGTTTCTGTTTCCAGGGTCTCTGCAAACTGGGCTCAGCTGGAGGCACAGATTTCAGCATGAAGCAGTTTGCTGAAGGTTCCACCCTGAAGTTGGCCAGGCAGTGCCGCAAGTGAGTGTCTGCCTGCCTTGGCTGCATGTCGTGTCCAGCAAGGCTGTCTCTCAGGAATGTGAGGCTGTCCAGGGCCATTTCTCCATGGCCATCTTCATGCTTATAAATACAGAGGCTTGCTTATTCTCTTTACATTAAGGGGAGATTTTATCTGGGTAAGAGCCTCTCTTCGGTAGACGAGAGTAGCCGAACTGCATTCTGTATTCTGAAAGGCACTGTGCTTTGAAGTTACCCTGCCTCCTGGGAGTATCGCTCTAAGATACGGCTTCTGTGCCTGCTGTCCTTTGCCCTTTGGAAAAGATGGGGAGTCCCATGGGAGAAGAAACCAGAGAGAGGATCCAGCTGTGCTGACTGACGCAGAACTCCCTCCCCATTTCCAGGTGGCTGTGCAACGAGGCCATGGATGTTGGCACTCGGCACTGGGCTGCTGAAGGCCTGGCATTCCTCACCTTGGACGCAGATGTCAAAGAGGAACTCCTGGAGGACAAGGCAGCTCTACAAGCTCTGTTCCTCCTTGCGAAGGTAACCCTGAGTTGCGAGCATGAGGGTGGGTAAGCTGTGAATGCCAAAATATCCTTACAGCTTAGATTTCTGAACTCCCGAAAGCTGGTAGTAAGAGTTTGCTTTGAAATGGCTATCTTGACATTGAACAAAACATGTAGATTATGTGGGAAGTTATTTGGAGTGATATTGCTCATGGATAGTTTGCTTTCAAATTAATGAGACGAAAGTCACCTTCTAGAAAATGCTCAGGTTCAAGCTTGAGTTAAGGAGTTCCGTAATTCTGGAAGGGAGAACCCTTCTGGCATTGCCGTCTCAGTGACCTGGGCCATTCCTCAATATTTCACACTGTAGGCAGGGGTTCCCACACTGGAAATTGCTTCCCAGCCCATAAACTAGTGTGCCAGGTTTTTTTTTTAAATAATTGGAGGAGCACTATAGTTGGCAATCACAAATCAGGACTAGTATTAAGGTTTTTAAAAAATAAACTAGAGAATGGTTAAACACTTAAGGTTTTCAACATGGAATGAGAAAGGCATGAGTTCTTTTTTTAAACATTGTATTTATTAAATTACACAACATAAAGTACCACCACAGTGAAATACAATTACGTACATGTTACATCAATGGTACCATCACCCTCAGGGCTACCATTAATAATATTTAAAATTTTATTCAATCCATTTTCTCTCCAACGCTTCATTGTTTCTTTCCTTGGTGTATACCCCTTCCCTCTCCGAAATACATATTCCAAGAATACACTCCATATTTTCTTAAAATCATAATTTTTGATAGGCTTCTTCTTATTTTCATATCACATGTCAGTTAATCATTAATTGCCAGATCCCATAGTTCTCTATACCATTCCTCTAAATTGAGATGGTTATCCTTTTTCTAGTTTCTTGCAAAAATTAGCCTTGCTGCCGTAATCATTATTACTATTAGGTCCTTATTTTCTTTCGACAATTGATCCTTCTTAACCAAATTCAATAAAGCCGTTGACGGGGACATTTGAATATTTAATCCAGTTATTTCCCTTATTTCTTTAAAAATTTGCTTCCATTCTTGCTTTCTTACTTTACGTGACCACCACATATGTATATACATCCCTTTCTCTTTTTTACACCTCCAACATAGTGATGATGCATTTTATTTATTATATTCACTTTTACCAGTGTTAAATACCACCTCCATATTACCTTATAACAATTTTCTTTTATCCTTACCAACATGTTCTTTGATCCCATATTTTATCCCATTCTTCACCTATTTCCTCTTTCTTTTATTGTGGTATTAGTTTTATGCTGTTTAGGTTGGATGTTTGTTTAATAAATTTTAAAAAAACGAGTGTGCCAAAGAGAACAGACTAGCACCCTTTGGACTGAAGTATGAATTCTGCAGGCAGAGAATGCTTTCCTCATTCAATTATATTGGCCTAAAGCTGGTGCATCCCAGATGGAGGGTGATCATCCCACTAAGGAGGAGGCAGGGTAGGTATACAAGCCAGTGCAGTGTAGCATTTCAGGGTCAAAATCAGCTACTTTACTTTTACCCAGAAGATGAGATGTTGCGACACCGCTGCTCTTGGCAGCAAGGCCTTGTGCCTTTTGGAAGGGGAGCTGCCCCCTTCTGTCACCTGAACTTTCTGAACAGCCTTTAAGGGCAGATCCACTACTTGCATAAGATAAAAAACATAGTCTTGAAGTCATTGTGATGCAGAGGTTGATTTTTGATCACAAAGATCTCTTGACTCATCATAGACTCTTTTTCGCTCCTTATTTACTCCCCACTCAGTCTGAGAATCGGAGTTCGCTGTTTGCAGTGGCCTCTACACTGGTGAACTGCACCAATAGCTACGACCAAGAAGAACCTGACCCACAGATGGTAGAGCTTGCGAAGTATGCCAAGCAACACATCCCTGAAAAGCACCCAAAGGTGAGAGGACTGGGGGTAAGGAGATCACCCTCGTGGGTGCCAGGCTTGCAGACCTTTCCCAAGGACATGGCTGGGCCTGCAGCTCCTGCTGGGTCTCCCACCAAGCTTCCTTGGCTTATCTTTTACTACTCTCATTTTGCACAGGACAAGCCAGAATTTGTGCGCCAGCGGGTGCAGAAGCTGCTAGCTGCTGGTGTGGTTTCAGCACTCACTTGCATGGTGAAGAACGAGAGCCCTTCCCTCAGCCCAGCCTGCCGTGAGCTTATCTCCAGGTGGGTTAAAGAAAATCGTTATAAAATAGTATGGAGATAATACTTAACATGGTGAAGTTAAACATATTAAATAAAAACGTATCATTTCTGCTCTGGAGGTGCGAGAAAGAAAAAGGATGTATTTATGTATGTGGTGGAGGAGGAAGGAATGGATGATGATTTTAAAGTAATTGGAGTGAATATACAAATGTCTTCCAATGATTGATGTATTGAATATGGTTAATATTAATCAAAGGAAGAGATAAGAAAAAGAATCAATTGTTATAGTGGTGACCGTGGCAAGGTTAATATTTGCAAAGAACTGGAAAAGTGATAACCAAGTTAACATTGAGGAATGGTATAGAGAAATGTGGAATGTGAAAATGACAAAATGACTAGTGAAATGAGAATTAGAAGAGGAATATCAGAATGTAACAAATTTGAAGCAATATGGAATGGATTTTTAGAATATGTGTTTTGGAAAGAGAAAGAGTATATTTTAGAATATGTGTTTTGGAAAGAGAAAGGGTATATACCAGGAGAAGAATCATTGTGTTTGCGGAGAGAAATGGGGAAGAATCAATGTGTTTCTGGAGAGAAATGGGGCAGTTTGAAATGCAAGGATAAAAAGTATGAATCTAGTCCCAAGGGGAGGAAGTTGACACAGGGTGGAGATATGAGGTTGTGATAAATTATCAACTAGATAAACTCTAGTTGATTTAATGTTGTGTATTGTAATGTTGTGGTTTTTATTTTTTTCTGTAGTAAAAGGAAAAAAATTAATAAAAATTAAAAAGAGCTTATCTCCAGGTGAATGGAGTGGGTAGATTTTAGTCCACTTGCAGATGTGTCTGTGGGGGTGGTCTTGGTGCCCCAGTCCTTTCCACAATGGAGCACTGATGCTATGATACTCTCAGGTATCTTCCTTGATGTTTGTCAATGCTGACTTTCCCTTCCATTTTTTGGTTTAATACTCCCCATCTTATTAATTTGCTGCTCCCTATAGTATTGGAACTTAATAAAAATAAATAATACATTGTGCGGAAGTTACATTTATGGCAGCATTTTCAAAATACAGCGTTTTCCTTTTTAACATTTCATACCAGAGAAAACAGAATAGGGATGAATGCTTTCATGAACTTTATCATTAATAAGTAATGGATCCAGGAGCATATGTAAACATTGATGAATAATTTCAGGGGCGTGAGGGTGTGGGGCACTCTGGAGACTCCACTTCACTGTCTGCTCTCTGTTGTAGGGTTTTTTTGGCTCTAGTGGAAGATTCAGATGACAGAGGCGCAGTGGTGGCTGCCGGAGGGGGAAAGGTGAGGACAGTTACTCCAGTATTTTGCCTTGGGTCCTTTGGGGGAGAAAGGCAGGATAGAAATATTTTAAATAAATATTTTAAACATTTTGCCTTGCCCTACCTGTCCCACTGCACAGCACTGACTCCTGTTTTCCTGCTTTGCAGGCTCTCATCCCTTTGGCCCTGGAAGGCACTGAAACAGGGCAGACCAAGGCAGCCCAAGCTCTAGCCAAGATCACCATCACGACGGCTCCAGAGATGGCCTTCCCGGGCGAGAGGGTCAGTACAGGGTAGTGTGCGACTGGGTAGCTCCCCAATCTGTCTCCCCCCCCCCCCCCCCCCCCGAGAACTTGGCTTTGCAATACTGTGGCTGAGTGGGTGCTGTCAGTCCAGGCTCCCAGGTTCTTCTTCGTTTTGCAGGTCTATGAGGTGGTCCGGCCGCTGGTGAGTCTCCTGCATTTGAACTGCACCAGCCTGCAGAACTTCGAGGCTCTGATGGCTCTCACAAACCTGGCCGGGACTAGTGAACGCCTCAGGTACAGCTGGTTTGCAAAAAGGCCCTCCTCCTTTCTCTGGGAAATAGGTGGAATTCCACCTGCTCAATATTTCTCCTTTTGCAGGCAGAAAATTGTCAAGGAAAAGGCTGTGCCGTTGATTGAGGGCTACATGTTTGAGGAGCATGAAATGATCCGTGTGGCAGCCACAGAGTGCATGTGCAACATGGCCCTAAGCCTAGAGGTGAGCAGAGACCAAAGATTGTGTGGCTGATATATATGTTATGTATTATATGTGGAAAGAAAAGGACCTCCTGACATCCAGATCCGACTTCCACGCAGGTAGCCAAGTTGTTTCTTGCTGAAGGCAGTGACCGGCTCAAGCTGATAGTTCTGTATAGCGGGGAGGAGGATGAGCGGCTCCGGCAGGCCGCTTCAGGGATGCTTGCCGTGTTAACATCACTGCTGCCCGAGATCTGTGTCCGGATTCCTCAAGTGGTGAGTCACGTGAGAAAACTCCCTGTGCCTGCCTTTTTTCGTTTCTGTTTTATTTCACACACTCCTGAAGGTGAGCCGAGGCCGAATACTAAGACCTTCTGCTGCCGCAACAGCAGCCCCCGAGGGGAGACCCACAGGCAGGATCCTCCTGCTCATGTTTTTTTGTTTTTGCACCTGTGCTGCTGGCCATAAATGCCAGAGTTCACCAACTCTTGCCCATGAGAAACAGTATTTCTCTTAGCAGTTGTCCTAGTTGCCTTTGCCCTCATTTGCTGACTAACCTTCTACTTGCCCCTAGACTGCTGCTTGGCTGGAGATCTTGCAGGCTCTGCTACTCAGCCCCAGCCCAGAACTTCAGCACCGTGGCGTTGTGGTGGTGAGGAACATGGTGGCCGTCGACAAGGAGCTGGCGACCAAGCTCATGGAGAGTGAGATGCTGGAGATCCTGTCTTCTGTCATGGCTGGTGTGAAGGACAGGCCCCAGGTGGCCCAGATCGCCAAGGAGTGCCTGGCTCAAGCCGAAGCCTACAACTTGATCAAGCCCAACTCAGCTCGTGGGCAGTGAGAGCCGGACTGCTGCCTCTCTGCTTGGTGGACACGCTGCTGCTGCTGGTGGGCACTGGGGGGGACTCGTGGTACTATGGTTTCTGCGACCAAGGAAAGAGTCAGCAAGCGATCCACTGTGAGCTCACTGGAAGCACTCCTGGTGGCTCCAGCTGCCACTTTCTGATCTTCTGACTTTTGTGAAGGTGGTGTTGCACAGCAGGCCCTTCCAGTGCAATGGGTTGCTGCTCTTCCTCGTCTCTTTATGTTCTCGCTGGAAACACAGTGGGAGTGAGCTGACACAGAACTGGGAGGCCTGGAGGTCCGTTGAGCTGCATGGCCTGCCTTTTGTTGCTGCTGAAAGTCACAGCCTTCCACTGCCTTAGTACCTGCTCAGTGGCCTATGACTTCAGGGCAGGGGAAATAGCTTTAAACTGCCACACTGCTCTTTTCTGTTTCATTCCTACTTCTTGCATTCAATTATATTAGCATTCCCTATGGCAAAGAGGGTGGCCGTTATAACCAAAGATATATGGGATGTAATGTGAGTCATCATATTCAATGAATCTGGGAAAAATGCAAATGAACAATAGTTCTCAAAAAGCACAAGACATTCAGCACCCGACCCCCAACTATTGCAAAGGGGTTTGCATGTGGGTTGGAAAGTGACACTGGGACAAAGTGCCTGTTTCTTTTTGTGCAAGGTGTTGTGGCATTAAATTCCTTCTTCAGAAGCTGTCTAAATCATGAAAGTGTATATTAGTTTTATAAGGCTACTTAAGATAGAAAGCACAAAAAGTATGGTAGGCTAATAAACTACATTGCATTCATCATTCTCCCTAGCACTTTAAGATATGAGTTTTTATTTAAAATTTTAATATATTAAAAGTTTATATAACAGAATATTCATTGTAACAATATGTGCAGTTAATGTGAGAGCCAGTGTGGTGGAGTGGATAAATTTTGGACTAACGTTCTAGAGATCTGGGTTCAGATTCTTTCTCACTCAAGGAAACTCTACCAGGGTTGCTTGTAAGTTGAAAGTGGCATGGTGGCACACAACAACTGCATAGGTTTCCAAAAGGCTGGACTTGCACAAAAACTAGCAAGCACTTTTGCCTTTTATTGTTTTGAGTTTCTTTCAGGATGGAACACCCACCTGTGTTTGGGCAGGTGCCCTTAAAATACGAGCTAGGATTTGGCTTTAGCTGTTGCACTAATTATTGGGTTTTTGGATCCAGGTCACCATTTGCTGAATGGGTTGCCTAGAATAAGCCCGGCTCTTGGACCTCAGCTTAATACATTTTAAATAGCAATAGGTTCCTTGTTTCCAGTTAGCAAGCCCATTAGGAGCTTGCTGTTAAACAAAAGGTGCTTGCTTTTAAGCAGAACTATTCTCTTGTAACTTCTCTGTTAGAGTAGTTGTGCCTCCTGGCATCTACAAGGCAATGGCCCAATGTGTCTGTCCTTGCAGTTTCCATTTACCTATGTTAGTCTTTCTTGAAACTTGTCCTTGGGTTATCTGGCAGTGGCCAAAATCTTGCTATGTAGTTACGCCTTGAGAAGGCAAACAGCGTAACTCACAGCAGCATTTTGTTGGCAGTTACTGGTTTCCCACTTAAATGTCTGGGCAACATGCCAACCTGCATGCCTGAAAATCCAAGCAGTAATCCATTAATTACCAATAAAAAGCTGTTGTGAGTTAGCTGTTTGCCTTTTGCCGACATAACTGTACAATAGCTTGTTTTCCACAGTATGGGTTGTAAGGGAGCACTACCTTTATGTTTACATGGCTGCACTGCGGCTGAAGAGAGTGGATTTTGATGAGAAGCTAGTGATCACTCTTGCTCTTTGAATGTGGTTACATTCCATATTGTCATTGGAAATTGCTGTTGTCTTCTGCCTGTGCTTATATATATACATACAGTATGGCGTGTGCTGCAATTTTACTGTTGCTTGTGCTCCTTTTGCACATGGTCTTGGTGAATGGGGATCGAGATGAACTGCAACTCCCTATAGAATTCTAAATAGGGAGTTTGGAAAGGGATGTATGTGTTATGTCCATCTTTTGGCAACAATAATACATTGTAGTACCTAAAAGCCTAGTTGTTTTTATTTGGCATGACCTCTTGTGGACTGCAACGCCTTTTCATTGCCCAAGAATAACACACGTGAGGGGAGGGGCTGTAGAAAAATCAATTGCACGCAGAGAGATCATTACTAACTGTGGAAGAGACCCGGTGATGATGGAAACCGCCCCCCCAGCTCCCAAGAGCCTCTTCCAGCTGGGCTTCTGGTAAGGGAGGCCGGGAGGTGTCTCTCTCCCCCGTAGCTGGAAGGGTCAGAGCTTGGGAGGGCTAGGAGAGAAGGAGCACAAGGGGCGGCACGGCAGAAGAAGAGAGGGAAGGAGCAGGCAGGGCAGGGGGTGGAAGCCAAGGGAGGATCCCTTTCTTGCTTGGCCTCGTTCGAAGCGGGCCTCTAGAGGGGCGATGGCCTACCCCCGGTGCCAGGAGGGGGCGCCGGGCGCTGCTCGTTCCCGGGTTGGCGCTCGTCCTCCGGGGCGGAAACGGCGGGCCGGGAGCGATGGCGGCGGAGGGCGGCGGCGGGAGGGGGCGGCCGGGG